CTAAAGGCATCCATAGATGATCGCATCTCACCGGTACAATTTGGATTTAGAGCTGGGAAATCAACATCGACTCCTCTATTTGTACTTAGGAGACTTCTGGAACTGCATGAACGACACCAGGAATCCTTTTACGCTCTCTTCCTGGACTGGTCCCAAGCATTTGATTCAGTATCCCATGTGGCGCTAGCCAACGCGCTTGGCCGCTTAGGGGTCCCACCCCAGTTCGCAAACCCGGTACTATCAATATATCGCGACTGCCAATTCACAGTCAAAGATTCAGGATATAACTCACAACCCAAAACCTTTGCACAAGGCATACGTCAGGGATGTCCCCTTTCACCTTATCTGTTTATCGTTACCCTATCGGTTCTTTTCCACGACACATATGAAGCTTACCAACACACATTTGGTCCCAGACCTTCGGTACTCACATCTGATTTCAGATTGACAGACCTCGAATACGCGGAAGACACGGTGTTGTTGTCCAGAACACGCCTATCTATGCATAGATTTCTCCACATACTTCAGGCGCAATCGAGTGCGCGGGGTATGTCCTTGAACCATGAGAAGTGCCAACTACTGGCTATCAACTCCGACCTCCCCGTTTTTCTCATTGACCACGCCAAAAGCGAGAGGGTATTGAGTTTAACCCCCAAGACGCCTGAGGCCTGTGGCCTCGACGGAGTATATATACACTGCATGCTACGTACGCATTGAACCAGTGGTCAGCACTTGCTGCAATAGGAAAGTGGAGCTCGATCCGGGTCTCGTTACATGCTGGCTTGGCTCATTGTTTGGCACTTGAAGGAACTGAGAACACCTTGTTTCGAGGCAGTTGGGACGGTGATGCTGCCGGCTTGTCTGTGTCACTTCTGTGCAAGAAGACGAGTTGGAAAAAGAAGCAGAACCTAGACCCTTCAACATTGTTCAACACACGGCGAGGGCCATCACTCTATGGATGTTGGCCATGCCAAGCTATACTTCGACGAGACGGAGCATTGCAACGATAGAGTTCTGGAGGATGATTTTTCAGGTGGGACCAACAGAGATGGTTCAGATTGTTTTGCTTGTGCTCGCAGGAAGCAGGCATCTCAGTCGAAGGACATCGCCTGCCCCGGTCAAGCCCTTCGTGATCGACCCCTCTCCGGGCGAACAGGTGAAGTGCCCCCCAGAAGAGCGATGGCACTGAGGATGACGAAATCTTTAAGGTGGTTTGGGCAGTTCGTCCGCCGCCCCAGTGTTACTGTTACTCTTTCCATATCCATGAAATGCCTGGGTACTCGACCTCGCCGGGGAGATCTGCACCTTGCAGGAGAAGCCATCCCAAAAAGCCACCTCTGGCAAAGCTTCCCCGCCTTCAAGACGATCCCAACCCTCGAGATCGGCCCGACGAATACTCTCGTTACCGTCGTCAGCCGGCATCTTGCATCGACGACACCAGCTCGTTGAGGCCATGCTCGGCAATAGACCAGCAACAATTCACTACATGGGAGCTCGTCTTCCTAATATCTGCTTCCATCAGGAGTTTTCTGCCAAACATGAGAGGCGTGTCAAAGGAAGATGCTTAGGGTAAGTCCCGAGGAGTTTCGTGACTGAAGGCGTTTCTATGGCCCAGTTGCGGAGGAGGTTGGCGGAAGGGTTGCCGCAGAGCCAGAGCCCAGCCCATAGCATGATGTGATTCCTACAGTCTTCGTCCTGCAACAAGCCGGAATGTTGGAATCCTGGGCTTGAGAATTGGAGCACTGGAATGGTGGTCCCAGGGTTGGTCTGAGATAGTGAATGGGCAAACAGAGCGGGTTGATGCTCAGGTGTGGGTGCTGATGGCGGAAGTGGCAAATCTGCGCGGGGAGGAAGTCATGAAACAACACCGCAATGTTCTAATTTTGGCTGTATTTCGATTCCACATCGCGGCAGTCTCTGCAGACCCTACTCCGGAGTTGTGGGTAGCGCAAATTCGTAATCACGTGATGAATGGCGTCGAGACCGACGGCCAAAGACTATCTACAGGGCTTGCTCTGGACGGGATGCCATTGTTTTGCGGTCGCATCATTGTGCGTAGATGTGTTTACGTCAAACGGACCGTCGTGCTGTGTAGGACTTCGCCACAAAACTCCGAGTTGCTGCCCTCCAGCTGCAGTCTCAGACAAGCTGCTGTTGTTAGCTGGGGGCGTGCCATAGCGAGCCGCCTAGGCTTGCGAGAGGCAGGAAGCTTGAGGAGAGTTTGGTCCACATCCCGTCTCACCTCCTTTGGACGCACATGCGCTGGGCGTTGCCACGAGGCCACTTCCTTGTGGCGAGAGATGAATCGTCTCCCTCACATCTGGTCAGGGGTCCTGCAAGAGCGTAGTATCGTCTCATTCGTCTCTTGAATGGAAGCGCCAGAGGCGCCCGCACTGGCCAGGTCGAGTCCAATGCCGCGCGTGACCGGCTTGGGCACTCTTCTCGGAAGAGGGCAGCCGTGCGTCCAAAGCACCGTTGATATCATCTGGCTTTGCTGTGGGTTGAGGACGCGACTCCTGCAGTCTCAGCGGCTTGGAGCAGTCAGTGCCCCATTGCTAGGCGATCCCGCGAGCCTTTTCGGATTGTCAGACTGAGGCTTCGCCAGTGCGTCAAAGCATACGCTCAACTGGCAGCACCTCGCAAAACCGGAGAGCTTTGAAAAAGAGGGTCGGGCGTCGCAGGAGACCTAAGTGGATTGTCTTCTCCACTCATCAGCAGCACCCAGAGTTCACAGCTTTGTGGGTGCCGTTTCTCCTCTGTCGTTACTTATTGTGTCAAGACCTCGGGGGACCATGGGGGCGCCGCCTGCGCTGGGTCGCTCCTGATGGACGCCGGCGATGGGCGCCCCGACGCACAGGAGCGAGAGGTGTAGGATAGTGATGAAGTCCTCCCCTGGCTGCTTTGAGCTTTCCAGGACGAGGGTGATGAGCCTGGCAGACCGGTGTCGCCTTCGTTAAAGCAGGCCCGGCTGGACCCCGAAGCATGCGACATTTCGACAATGTATAGCTCCAACGGCAGATACAATCTCTCTATTGCAAGCTGGGAATGCTGCCAGGAGACTTGCTTCGTCTTTGATTGGGATGACACTATACTCCCCACGTGTGGAGCCAAGATCTGTTTGTAGCAAGCTCCAAGACCAACGACACACGAAGGTCGTGGCTTGAGCGCATCCACGCGTTGGCAGGCTCCGGGCGGCATCCATGCTAAACAATTCTTATAGTTACTATAACTGCGACGTATCCACAGCTGGACAGGCGGACCTCTGCGGCCTGAAGTTCAGAGGCAGTGATGCCCCTGGCACTCCTGATCACTGATCACTGCTGCATGGTATCACGCGGTCTGCCTACTTAGGCTTGCCAGTCTCTGCTCCGCCTGGCCCCGAGCACTTAAAGCCATCGCAGTTCAGAGCGCCTCTGATGGGGAATGCGTCAGCCAGGCGGTGACGCAGACGTTGCAAATTGCCTCCACGCACCGGGCTCGCTGCAAGTCATGTCGGGCGGGTGTTCTTGGTCAATGGTGTGTTTATGTCCGAGGTTAGGCAACATTGTGATTATCACGAACAGTGCCCCCGGCTGGGTGGTCTCCTCGGTCCTTCGGTGCGGGATGTGAAGATGCTCCTTGCCTTGGAATTGGGCGCCGGAGGTTGACCAATCTTGCCAAATTTTCATGCCGCAGATCCTCCAACAGGCCTAGCCATGCAGCCGGCCGTCCGTTGTGCGTGCTGAGAATCATGCATGCACTGTCTGGCGTGGTTGCGATGCAAGATTTTCTTCATCCGGTGATGGCTCAAGAAGCACGCTGCCTGTGTGCGTGCTCTAATGTAGAGTAGGGCTCCAGATCTTTGCAGATCCAGGGAGCCAACAGGAAAAGGGTTCCTTCGACACTTTGCCTGCCAGCGTGACCATAACCATCAGATGGATTTCTCCAGCTTCAGTTTGTTCATCTTTTGCCTTCGCTAGGACAGGAACCCTAGGCCGGACACTAGCTGTCTGAGCAATGTGCGGAAACTGATCAGGCCGCGACGTATGCCAAGCACCTAAGAGAACAGAGGGAGCACTGTGATCTCCGAAGGTGCCATGGAGTTCTTTGCTAGAAGCGTTCAGCCAGCTCCGCAAAGGCCTGGTTCAGAGTTGGGAGATGGTGGGAGACTTCTGTGTTGCGCTGCGAGGCACGTGCCCGTTGACGTGAACCATGGCGGAAGTGTAAACCTGGACAAGGCAGTCGTGATCTCAGAAGCCATGTTAAGCTCCCGTCAATGCAGAGCTGTATCTTGTCGGTGCTGCGGCCGACTCTGTCGAATGCCTTTGATGCCGAGGCCATGGATCAGCTAGCATCAGCAGCTTCAAGAATTCTTGCTAGCAAGAAGATCCAGGAAGTGACTTTGCCGCAGTTGGTGCTAAAGTCCAAGCTGCGGCAGAACAGATCGTGCTTTTGCCAGGCTTTGAAGCCCCCGCCAGCCCCGAGGCACATTGCGGATTGAAGCTAGAGAACTGTCGAGTGAGCAAATTGTTGATATGCCGTGCTCTTGCGGCAAAAGCCAAGATGTTCAACCGCTCGTCTGAATGCAAAACACGACGCTTCGGATGCAGGCCACGCGAGAGGCTTCCCTGTGCCAAGTCCAGCAATGAGGATGGATTGTCGACGGCTGCGAGGCAGTGTCTTGTGCGTCTCAGCAGGACGTAGCTGAGCGATGCGCAGACTCCGACTCTGAGCCGTTGGCCCAGCATGGCCCAGCTGGCGACTTCGGCTTCAGAGTGTCTTGTCCCCTTCAGCTGTGCTGAGGTCGATCTGTTCTTTGAGCTCTGGAAACTCACTGACAGGCCAAGAACGGACACAGCGACACACTGACATCTCCTGCAGCAGAGCCATGAAGTCGGTTGCTGGCTGGAAAACCTGCCAGACGACGCTTGCGGCTTCCCGACGGTTCTCTCAAGTGACTTCGGTCGGGAGGAGCTCGTTTGAAAGCAGGGCATGTCAATCAATCTACCGTGCCAGCCGCTTTGAAAAGGACCCCAAGGACCAGGTGCAGGCAAGGTTCGCACCGATTTCGCTGCCGAATGAGCAGTCGGACATGCCATGTGGCCAGAATTAGTCTTTCGGGTGTCAGCGCCCAGTATAGAGCTTTTCAACACATGGAGTCGCCCACCCTGAAAAATCCCAGACGACTCTTGTAAGGAGGACTGCGGTCATTGAAATACATGTCTTCACGTTGTTGTTGATCCCGATTTGCGCGTGCCTCTCTGTCCGAGAATCCCTTTGTTGCCCTTGTCAGCCTGTCGGTGTTACCGTTCCCCCACGCAGAAACCCAAGGTTTCGGACCATCCTGCACTTCGTTGCTTGCTAGCGAGCGTCTCAGCATGTCTCAGCCAAGCTGCAGAGCTCCTGCAGTCGTCCGACGGCCAGGTCAAGCCTTCCCCAACTTTTTTTGCCTGCGTGCCGCTACCCAGCGATTCGCTTGTAAGCTTCCCGTTTGTCCGGTGATCTCGTCTGCTACAGGTGCAACCCTCTGCCACTTGACCATTTAGGCAATCAGTGAGTCCTGGCACCAAGAGATGGATAGGCTTTCAGATCGTCTTTCTCAATACCGGAACAGCCTTCAGTAAAATTCAATGGTAGCCGGCCTATCTCCAACCTTGGTGAGGGAACCATGGCAGTGTAGCTCGCGACTCGACATTTCTTCAGCACCGTCACGCTACTGACGCAGTTCGGCTCCAGTTCAGCCAGTACAGTGAGATACAGGCTCGTCTGGCTAAGCCGTTTCACTGCCAGCTGGCCGTGTGTCCGATCCTCTAATGATTACATTGACTGTGTCTCATATGAAGTGCTGACACAGTGGCGGCTTTTGGCCATGGCGCATGGCGCTGCACAAACGGTGGATGTGACGAACTCCTGCTTTTTTCACACGTCTTGAAATCTGGGTCTGTAGATTGTCAATAGGATAAACCCAGTTTGCGTGGGCCGAGATTGCCACGTGAGAGTTTGAATTTTGAGGCATGCCGGCGCCGTCCGTAGTGTTACATCCGCCATGCAAAGCGAGAAGCGCCGCCCAGTGCAGATCGCTCCGGATCCTAGCTCGGATCAAAAAGCACGTGCTCCGGTCGTGGGCGGCAAGAGAGCAGCTTGAATGTCGGCTTCTGGCACGTGCAATCCATCGTGTTGTGCCTTGTGCTCGCTCGGCAGATTCGAAGTTATCCGATCTATGCGAAGCCCATGCACGCACCCCTGACCTTTAAGCCACTTGGTGTGCCAATGGGCGCTGCGATCTGTGATCGTGCTGGCCAACTTCTCAAACTCAGGATCACAACCTTCAGACGAGAATGCAAGAAGTTTTCGCCAGGAGCTTAGCAGTCCGAGGCGGTGTATGACTGTGCTTGATATCAATTCTGTGGCAGCGCCTTCCAAAGCCTCCGCCCGAACACCCAAAAACTTGAATGGCATTGAATCGGATCGAAAGGGAGAGGAGAGATTTGTTGATGGCATGGCCCTAGCAGCTGTTCGCTGGCCTCGCGAGGCCCTAGGCCAGAAAATGACTTCAGAGCAGAAAGATTCGACCGAAGAACAGCCAGTGAGACGGCTGCGAGTAGCAACTCAGCTCAGGAACTTGATCTCTATTGGGGACGGAGACGCCGAGCGTGCTGCTAGCCTAAGGCTGCAGGCCTGAAGCAGCGTGTATGCTTCTAGCTGCCTTCCTGACATTGCATGGCCTGAGTCCACGCACAGGCACCCTCAGAGCGCAGAGGCCCCTTAGGCATCGTGATGCCCGCGTCAGCCAGTTCATTTCGCAAAGACTCGATTGTGGAGGCGAGGAATCCCGGCAACGGGTAAAATCAGCATGGCGCCGAGATTCAGCATCCGAGTAGAGAGACTGCTTGAGCAACAGAAGCGATGAGGTGAAGCTGGTGGAGCTGCCAACGTGCCAGCAGCTGATCGTGCAGCATGAGATGCTCCAGGAGTGGGACGTCAAGGGAGCCAGAGAAAGCCTTCATGACTGGAAGGGTTCTCTTGGCAGGTTCGATTACCAGATGTCACTGCATTTCATGGCAGCCTGGACTTGAAGTCGCGCTTTCCAACGGGATCCCCGCAGTCGAAGGCTCGATGCTTCGGCCCGCTTTCGTCCTTTCGTGCCCAGTGCAGACCACGTTTGTGCCCCTGCCGGTGCTCTCGCTGCTCAAGCGAGCTAGTAGCTCGAGGATCGGGAAGATAATCTACGAGAAAGAAATGTCGAATACACGCGAGTGCGACTGCAAATGGATCCAGTAGATCTCTCTGTTTGTCCAAGTATCTGTCCATCTACCTATGCTTCTTTCGCACAGGGAGATCAGGGAGTGTTTTTTCGTGACACTAGATCGGAGTGTCGGCCACAAAGGAGAACAACGAGACATCCAGGCTTTCCGTAGCATGGCAGCTCATGGAGTCAGATGTGGCCGAAGAGGTTGGAAGAGATCAGCTGCTCATCATTAGATTACAGCACATGCGCTCAGGCGACGGCCTCGTTCGAGAGCCAAGTTCACGATGACGAAGAGGATTGCCAGGAGCACTGTTTGCCAACCTGGTGGGACCGCCACTGCCAACTTCAGCACCCTGACGGCCTGACGGCCTCTTGCTTTGAAGAGGCCTGGCTCCTAAACTCTTCTGAGCCAAGGCACACCTACGGCTCCTCCACTTTATCCGTGCGGGTGAAGGCAGCAGATGCAGCACCCCTGATGACACACGTGCGTTCTGAAGCGCACGGAGCGAAGAGGCTCTGGGGCTTGGGGAGTCCGATGTCCAGTCGCTGCTTCTGGGCATAAACTCCTTTTGTGCCCCTCGCTTGCATCCTGCGATTTCTTGCCTTTCGGGAAGATGCGCTTTTTTTGGGAAGGCGCGCTGCGTGGACCCCACCGTGGAGCTTGTGCTCGAGTCGGCGCCTGGGGACTGGCAGGAGCTTTGACTGTTGGCCGTGTTGGCCGCAGAGGCTGGATGCCTCGGAGAACGATCTCTCCGACGAGGCTGCGACGATCGCAGCTCAAAGAGACTCCAAGAGCAAAGCTGTAGAGGCTGGAGCCATCCTGGTTTCAGGGTTACAGGACTTTGGCAAACGCCGACGAGGCTCAACTCCTGCATAGCATGTGCTCGATCGTGCGCGTGCCAAGCTGTCCTGCCGAAAGTGCTTTTGCCCTTGTCAGGTCATGCGAGGCTCCGTGTGCTGAAGCTACACAAGAACCAGGCCAACCGACTGATTTTGCAGAGCGGCACAATGAAGCAACAGTTTCGATTTTGCGAATTTGGCAGGTTGGCGATGCGACGTGTCAAAAAATTGCATCACTCGTCTGGCATCAGAAGCAGGCAGTGGAGGCGTCGACAGAAAAATAGCCAACGCATGTAGTTGGATGCCATGCTTACTGAAGTTTGACGTGGCTTGAATTTCCCGACAACCGGTGGAGGTGCTGCAGTGCAGGTGTAGCCTGGAATTCATAGAATTTCTAAGCAACGGAACAATAGGTTTTTGTAAAAACACAGTGATTCGCAGCACGTGGGGACTGAGAACAGCAGGCAAATCAGAACAACCAGCACAGTATATGATATCTCTATATATATATATATAGGTTCATATATACGTATGTGCACAGGTTTCAGTGTATGCAACCTGATGCTCGTAATGCTGCAAGCTGCAGAGTTTGCGGCCGAAGACTTGGGAATGAATGCAGGCTGCCGTTTGAGCTGACTGGAAGTTTTCGAACCAGTATGAAATTTGCTGCACGGTTACTAGTTGAGGACAACATCTGGTGCTACTCGCCGGTGCCTAGTGCGAAGCATCTGCGCAACGCAAGCAGCTAGATGAGGGCGGAGGCCTCTCGCTCTTTCCTTTTGTTGGTCGACACGACAGAGTCATTTCAGCAGGGCCTCAAACAGTTTGTCTCCGAATCGGGCAGCCCGGCGGCCACAGAAGCCTTCATAGCGGCCCATCAAGCTGACCTCGACCGATGGGGCTTTCGTTACGAAAGCGAGCACCTAGGTGTTCTGATACGTTGGTCCTTGGAGATGGTCCATAAGCAGTACTCCTTGGAGCCTGATAAAGTGCGCAGAAATGCTGAAACCATGCAGCCTTTGGAGCCCGAGAACAACTTTAGTATTTAGTCATCATACGGCTCGGTTTGGCAACTAGCAATGCCTGAACGGTATAATACTGTACAATACCATTGTGAGGTGTGGTATCGCATTCGGCTTGCGTTCCTGTTCTCCTCACTCCCTTGCTGCCCGCTGCCACCTCCTTTCCTTGGGGAACGGCTCTTCACGAAAACCGGAAATCACAGTATTTGCAGTCTGTGCCTGAGAACAAGCAGAAACATTTCACTGCAAACTACAAACCACATGGTGTGGAGTCGGAGATCAGTGAGAAAATGCTGCGCCAATATTGATTGTGGTGATGCAGCTTGAGTATCCGACATGCTGTTTATCGTATTCGGAGCCAAGAGAGGTTCCGTCGGTAGGACAAAGCTCTGCCCATGTAGTTCCGGCAGCTTTCTGATCCAGGAGATCCACCTGTCGCATAATGAAGTTCGACAAAAGGGCATCGTGGTCGCAACAGTTTCTCTCCGCCGATTGCGCAATTGCGATTGCGCGCAATTGCGCGCACGCGCAACTGCGCGCACGAGGCATGGCGGCCCTGCTCGTTGCACTCGCCCTGCATCCTCCGAAGGCCAGGTCGCCAGTGCTGCACGCGAGCTGGGTCACGAGGAGTTTCCGTGCTGCAGGCTTATCCACGAGCCGCTCCAGGCGAAGCACGCATCTCAGTCATTCTCAGTCCACCCAGTGAGGGGGAAAGGAAGCATCGGAGAGCCGAGGAGGTGCCATGTTGGGTGCGCTTGGAGCATAACCAGGAGCTTTGGAAGCTGCACGACTCTCTCTGTCTCTCTCTCTCTCTTTCCAAAGCGCGAGGTGTCTCATGCCGAGTACCTTTTGAACTTGTTGAGCCAGGAGAGCCAGGACAGAGTCAGACCTCAGCCGAAAGTCCCGTCTTTGCAGGATCCCACGAAGCTGCGCACCTGCCTCGCTCCCCGACGTGACAGAGGTCCAAGCTGTACTTCTTTCAGATGTCAGGCCAGCAGTTTAGGGTTTCTCGTTTCTCAGTCTTGCAACAGCCAAGACTCCCTGGTGCAGCGAGGCAGTCGAGAACGTGGCGCATGTTCACCTGTACTGTGTTGACAAGCAGGCACCTACACCAGCACAGCTGTTGAGTCCGATTTTCGCTCTCTGCCATACTCTTGTCATGTAAAGACCTGCACAGGACGACGCCCAAAGTGAGACCAGGAAGCATGCTCAGGCACTTGACTTGGGCCCTTTGGAGCTTGGAGCCTTTGCAGGGACCTGTCTGAAGCAGGCCGCGCTGCAAGAAGCCCTCGAGGATTGTCGCCAGGGCCACCCAGGCAGCGGTGCCGTCCCCAAAATGAAGATGCCTCCGCTGCTTACGCCCTCGGATGCGGCAGAGTGCCGCCTGGTGGAGCTCAATGTGCAGCACCCAGGTCCCCACAGTTCGTCACATTTCGTCCACGGCCAGTGAATCCGTGCGAGAGAGTTTGAGGTAGATCCTGACAACGGTGCTGGGCTGGATCTCAGCGAGGGCCACTACGGCTTCGTGGTGGATGCCGTGGAAGCTGAGCCCGGGCAGCAGCGAGACGCTCAAAGGCCCGCAGGCTTCGTGAAGGAGTGCTTTCTGGCTTCCAGAGGCTCTCACCGGGAGATGTACTTCTTGAAATTGATGGTGTGCAGCCTCTTGCCTAGCCTTCGGCAGCTGTGCTTGAACCGCGTGAGGGTTGCTTACAAAGCGTGCATCAGGTTGTGGGGAGGCTTGGGACTGGAGCGCCTGGGTGAGGCTTGCAAGATTCCAGGCGGACACAGATGAAGCCCCACAAGTCCTTGTCGGAAAGGCCTTCGGCAGCCGCTTTGCAGACGGGGCTCGGCTGCGTGTTGCACGAGCCGATGCAGTGCAGGGTCGGGCCCTTTGGCAGTCTTGCCCTCAAACCCTCGGGAGACCACTGAAGCTGCCGTCAAGGATCATCAAGCTAAGGCAACTCTCGATTCCCGGACCATCGTTGTCTTCTCGCTGTGACGACTTGCGTGAATCCCTGGGCCGGGACCACCAAGGAAGCAGCGGCGCTGCAAAGTCTTGGGTTTTCCATACCAAGGTCAAGACTTGGTCATCATGGGCCAGCAGTGTGGTGTGCAGGCAAAGCTGGAGGCTGTTTCAAGAAGCTGAACCGATTGTGCTGTTGTCATGTCAAGATTCCTGCTCTGTGAGGATGATGGCGTTTGGTTGCGTGGGCATCCGCAACAGCAACGTCATGGCCTCTGTCCGTCGCACTGGCGGATTCGTGTGGAAGCTTCACGGCCCAGGCTGGGCTGCGGACGAGCTGCCGAGGCGGCTGAACCCTTGCCCATTCTGGCCAATAGTGTGCCAAAGTTCAACTGCCTACATCTGGGACCAGAAATCACCCCATCCTATGACCAGCGCTCCCGCGTAACCACTTTACGCGGCGGACGATCCAGAGTCACTTGGATAGGGAGGTTGGATCGGAATCTATGTTGCATCGGTTTGGCACCCATAAGGCTCATGCACAGCCTGCCAGGCCTGATTGTAAGGGGTGTTCGACCAAGCCAAGCTACGATGACGCTGACAGAAAGGGGTTCTGCAAAACTGGCAGGCTTCTGGCCTTCTACTTCCCCGAAACGTCGCTTCCGCTGCTGGGACTTCCCTTGTTCAGGGAATGCTGCGACTTTGCCGCAGTGTCTCACAGAGGTTCCCTTCTTGCCATTGGCGTGGTGATCCCGACGAGCTGTGCAGATCGGAGATCGCCGAACCTTCTTGCGAGGAGCCCCGTTAAATGATGTTAAATGTGCCCCTTACCAAGCTGGTGGCCGAGAAGCGCTGGAGGACAAGATGAGACAAGAGCTTCGTCTCGGCGAGCTGCCAGGCCAGCAGCACCTTGTGACAGCGCTCATGTTCAAAACGACTCCTGCTCAGATGGAAGCTGTGCAGAACTGGCATCTTGGGAAAAGCTTCTCAGAGGACAGTGGTGCATGCCTGAGAAAGCGCTACTTGCTTCGCTCTTCAAACGGAGACTTGAAGGCACTGCAAGTGCCCCGCAGCCAACACACATCACAATCTAGACTGTTTGGCACTTTGGTTAGCAGGTGCGAAGATGACGACATATTCGATGAGGATCTACCGGTGGAGCCATTGGAAGCTTCTTGGCTGCATCCATTCACGAATGCGTTATTCACCCTTATTCTTCGTAATCTGGTTGGGCGACAGGCGCCGGACGACGGCCCAGATGTATTCGAGGGACAGGTGCACCTCTTCCTTCAGAAAGCCTTCACTCTAAGCTTTCGGCCAAAAGTCGCTGACAGGTGCTTGCACCCGAAACACATGTCTCGGATCCACTCAGGGTCGCAGCCTCATGCAGGACTCGGATGCTGGTTGGAGTGCAGAAGCGTTTTGTTCAGGTCCTGATGCTGGTTGGGCTGCCAGGATCCGGCCAGGAAGCCCAGGGCTGTGAGGCTGATTCGCCCTGCGCAAGTTCGGACAGCCCCGACTGTCCTAGGCAAGAGTACCCTGGCGGCCAGGCCGGTTTTGGGACACTGACAGCCGACAGTGATAGCAAGTTCCACAGCTCTAATCGTGCCTTCCGTGAGCGCTTGCGGGTTCCTGTTGTGGAGCACTAACCTGTGGACACGTCGCCTCGGCACCAGATGGTTGCAACTTGTTGCAGTTGCAACCGTCGACCCGAACGTAGGGTGGCTGAAGAGACGCAGACGAGAGCAGAATGATACGGCAGAGCACGTTGGACGAAGTTTCGAAAGTTCGGTGGGGTTGTGCGCATGTCTCGGACCACTTGGGCACCGACTACCCACAACTAGCAGGTGGGTGATGGTGGATGATGTAGGCACAGTCTGTATGGCCGCCAAGCTGCAGGCCTTGCGTGGTGTGGGCAAAACGGTGGGTTGAAGTTGAAGAAGCTAGGTCAACGGCAGAGACCTGCAAAGTACATAAACTTCATGGAAGTATGCAAGAGGAGCAAGACCAGAAACGCAGGATCCGAGCCGCCGCGACGTGTAAAGCTTGAGTTTCTACAAATCATGTTCTGAGAAAGCGTACCAGCATGCAGCGTGCTTCATCGTCTGTGTTCATCAGTTCGGCGCTGTTGTAAGCTTTACTGTATGAGCCAGGATGCACCGCCTTGGGTGTGGGCCTTTTTTGCTTCTTGTCTGGCCAAAAGCAGTAGCTGCTATGAAATGCAAGGTGGGTCGTCATAAACCAGGACACCCTCGGGGTCGGGCTCTCAGGGGAGTTGTCAGCATGAGCACGAAAATTGAGGCCGCACCTTTTGCGCATTTCAGCACATGTCATATGGTGTCAGGACAGGAAGAAATGCGTGACCACTGCCATTGATGCATTGTCCTCCGTGCTGCTTGCAAGCTTTCGGACAACGCCTCGTTGAGCTGCCGCGCTTCCGCTGCGGCGAACGCGAACGCGGCCAGGGGCAGAAGGTGGTCATCGACCGTTGCAACGTCACGCGACTGCAGCGGCGAGTCTGGCTCGGGGTGGCAGATGAGAGCCAGGAGCCGCCGCGGGACGCGGACGCGCGGACGCGGACGCGGAAGCGCAGCCGAGACCCAGCGCCGCGGCGTCGGAGCGCCTCCGAGCGAAGTCCCCGCGCCAGGCCAGCGTGGGCTGCATCTGGTTGGATGTGCCGGAGGCACATCCGTCGAGCTTAGAGAAGTGTTGCACGGTTGCACGTGCCATTTGAGACGTGCTGGTGTGCCGCAGCGGTGGTCTATCAAGGGGACGTGCTACAGGGCTCGTCTGCAGCCATGTCGCTCGGTCGACAGCAGTGAGCCGTAAAGAAGGCTTGATTGCATGCTTCCTTTGATTTTGGGCTTGCTTCCAGCATTTTCCAGCCTGCTGTGATCTGCTGTGCGTCATGATGCAGGCTTTCCGCCTGACACATGGCCGGTTCCACAAGCCTTGCTGACTTTAAGCAGCCTCTTGGCAGTGTGGTGAAGGAGGTGTGCGACGTGGTGCTTCCACATCCGGGGGGCTCTGAGGCTTGCGCTGCTTGGTGAAGGAGCTTATTCCGCCGTTTACAAGGTGCTCCCTGCGACCCAGAGCTACCAGACGCACTGTCCGTGGAGTCGACAGGTTCTTCGCTTGGCGGACAACGAGATCTATGCCTTGAAGAAGGTTCCAGCCCTGAAGTCGTCCGCTCGTGTGCTCGCTTGCCACTGCCATCGTTGTCAACCAAGGTCAAGCTCCCTTCTCTATCCGACAAGGAGAAACAGAATGCCTTGAATGAGGTGCTTGCAATTCTGGCCATCATCTTCAAGCGAACGTCTTGACTAACTTAGACAGTCCCCAGCGTATGTACTTTTGCGCAGGTCCGGTTGCTTGCATCTGTCAAGCACCCAAACGTCTTGCCCCAAGTACTGCCATGACCGGCACGTACTCTGCCACATTCTGGATTTTGCAGTGCGCAGAGTGTGTCCCAGCCAGCATGCAAAGCCGCTGCAATTATCGATTGCACCTGCAGCTACTACATAGCTGTTGTGCCTGCCTGACTGCCGGTGCGCACGCGTGCGGCCTGTGGTGCCGTCGTCAAAAACGCTTTGGACATCAGGTCGTCGCTTACAAGGAGGCGTTTTGGGACGACAAGACCCGGTGTCTGTGCATCGTGCAGGACTGTCTCTGCATCCTTTGCTTGGTGCATCTGCACCTTTGACAGGAGTGTGCCGACGGCGACCTCCTTCAGCAGATCAATAAATGCAAACAGGAACGCGCCTACCTGCGCGAGGTGCTTTGAGCTGCATTGAGTGTGTCAAGTTTCGGAGAGCCAACCTGCAGGCCGACGTGTGGCGATACCTCGACGGGATGTGTCAAGGCCTCAAGGCACGGAGATCTTCCAGAACATCTCTGAAGCACCCTCTTGTTACACTTCCGGTAGGCCTTGCACGACATCCGGGTGTTGCATCGCGACATGAAGTCAGCGAATGTCTTCCTGCATCTGAGCCGCAAAGAGAGAACTGACCCAGGCGAACGTTAGGGAAGCAACCCTTGAAAGTGTTTCGAAGGTCCGCAAAGCCGAAGTCGTGGTCAAATTGACCAGGCTCCTCTCATGCTTCGTGTCAAGCGACCACTGAGGAGTCACACGAAGGATGGGACCGTTGCAAAGCTTGGAGACTTCAACGTCTCGAAGGCAGAGCAGGATGTCCTGATCGCCTGACAACCGTTGATCGCAGCCTGTGCCCAGGTTGCGAAGCGCGGTCTTTGCATGACTCAAACGGGCACGCCTTACTACGCATCTCCGGAAGTTTGGCGAGACATGCCCTACGACGCACCTCGCTTCTCTGCATCACGCACTTGAAGCCGGAAGCTCAAGACAATGAAAACCAAGGCGAAAAGTGACATGTGGTCTCTGGGCTGTATCCTGTACGATGCTCGTATTTACTCATTGACAGAGTGTTGTGGCTATTCTGGTTGGTGCTGGGGCGAGGGGGAAAGGAACTGGAACGTGCCCTGATTCCATCAAAGGAGATGGTGGCTCTGCGACCTCCTTTCCGAGCGGAGGATATGGAGGGGCTGTATCGCAACTTGTTTGAGTAGAGCAACTCCCATGTCACCTTCACCTGGTGTTGCGCGTGGTCGCAGAGGTAAAGTTGTGCGTGGGCAGTACCCACGAATACCGGCACATTACAGCAGCTGGTCGCAATCGGTGACTTGATGAGCCGTCTCTTGTCGAATCTTCGCTCGCAGGCCAGGACCTTGCGGATGTGATCGCCGCTCTTCTTCAGGCGCGGTGAAAAAGTTGTTTGCGGACTCCAGCACTCGGTACTCCCTACTCCCTTCTGTTTCAGGTCCATCCTCGGAATCGTTGGGGCCTCGGCTGTGAAATGCCATGCCGCGGCGGTACTCTGAACGGAATCATTCCCTTTCTTTTTGCCCAAGGCCCAGCTGTGGACCAGTTATACCAAATGACTCAAATGGCTCGTCATTGCAATGGACTCCCTCGAGAGGAGATGCCGCGCATCACGTGGCAGCATGAAGCGTTTAGGTCCTGAGGTTGTTTCAACTTTGCATGCATTTGCATGTGTTTCAGCTCAAAGGAGAAGTTCACATCTGACCTGTTGTCCACCATCAAGCTTCCGAAGAACGCCATAGCTGCCTTCTGAGATGTTCCGCCCAGCTAGTCCAGAGACTTTAGTGCAAACATGGACTTCGAAGTACCTAGAAATGCAACTTTGGACCAAGGACCTCGGCGGATGCCTTCCCAAGCCGCGCTACCAGATGGATTTGCGCGCGATAACCTCGGCATTGGCCAGCCGATGTCGAAGCCCACTTTGGGGGTTTTAGTTCTAGTTTCTCTCCGAGGATGCGCTTCTTCCTGAAGAGTCTGATCGTTTTGACACGGACAGTCCTGCAGAACGCCAAGCAGGGCGCAGCCGGATGGGATCTGCGCAAGCTCAAGGTCCCTGAGAGGGCAAAGGAAACGGTTCTAAAAGTTGAGACGAGGCAGCATGTCAGCATGCTCTGCTTCTTCGCGGAGGCCTTCCTCCGATACCTCCGGCACGGGGCACCCGGAACCTTGGAAGCGCGGGGGGCGCATCCGTGGCTCGTGAGGACCGGGAGAATTTTAGCCGGAGAGGAGTTGTCCATGCCATGCCGAGCCATGCTGAATGGCAGAGAGGAAGCTGGAGATAGCCTTGACATCTACATGCAGCTCCTGGGCTGCAGGGTCGTTAAGTGTGACCAGGTGTCTTGTACGGAAGATCCTCCCATCTCCAGGCGTGCTGAAGGCAGGGACGAGACAAGCGCTAGCCGTGCAGTGCCTCGGCGGGCCATCGCCTGAGAACAGACAGTGGCAAACTGTACCGGCTCTTGAAAGCTCTTTCCCAGAAGGACATGACCGCATCTCGCCCCGAAAGCGATGCGAGCAGCGTTGCTCCCTATCAGGCGGGGTTGCGCTTCAGATCTTGTGAACACGTCTTGACGGATGTGGCTGATGCAGGTTGGCAATGTCGGCCGCCAGCCCAGGCTACCAGCTGTCGGAGAATCTCGAGGATTCCCTCGACTTGCACACATGCCGGCCCGCTGGCTTTCTGGGAGTCATGCGACACGATGCGACGCCCAGGAGTCACCTTGAACCCTCATTACAACGTGGGGCAGAAGCAGCTGCCCAAGATTATTGGAAACGGATTCCAGCCAGCAGCAAAACTTTGCAAAGGCAGAGGGAGCCACGAAGACCGATGTCCATATACGCCCGTCAGTCTGCGGCCAAGCACAAGCGACGCCTCCTGACCAGGTCTTTGTGTGACGCATTGGTTCAAGCTTTACACCAAATGTGGCCTGCATGGGCACTTGAACCATTGCAAAGCCATGCTGAACCAGGCTTGCAGTCTGAGGGGCATTGCCAAACACGTCTTGGGTTCCTGAACCTACGCCTCGAGCCATAACCTACTCATCGGCTCCCGGAAAGCCGCACTTCACACCTGGGTGTCTGACAGCCCGGGACGAGAAGCCTTCGGGAAAAGGCGTTGCCGTGTTGGCGGCCGAAAGCCGGCAGGCCAAAGCATCTAACGGCCCAACCAACCTTTCGATACACCTCTCGGGGGGGGGAGGATTGGAGACACCAGGTAAAAGCAATTCGCGCTTGAGCATTCCATATCTTGGAAATTGCATCTCAGCCGATGGAAGAAGTACGACCGCTTTGGCAATGTTTCATTGTCAGATATTGTCAGTTTCACGAAGATTTGGCTGGCGGTCATGCTCGTGGCCGCGTAACTAGGAGACACTCACGGCTGAACCGCCACGCATTGACCACTGTCGACTGCATGAGGCAATATGGTGTTGGAGAGTCGCAGCCCTGTTTTTTTCTCAAAGCTTGTCGCAGATCACCCCTCGCCATGCCGAGGCCTGCTCGCCCAATCGAGAAGGACGAAAGACAGCCAAAAGATTCAGGCATAAACGGTTGGGTGCTTGGGAGCATCTCCTCGCATCCTCCCGCTTCCAAGGCAAAAAACGTTCTCTCATTCCGAGGCAGGAGCACATCGTGCTTGTCACATTGAGTCTTTCTGTTCAGCTTCCATGATGCATCATGCTTGTGATTCTGTCCATCCAGCGCACTTCCTTGTCGCAATTCACATTATCTCGTAGATTCAATTCATATACCAGGTACACACATGTGTGTGTGTGTAACGTATGTAGGTAGGCAGGCAGGTAGGCAGGTAGGCAGGTAGGCAGGTAGGTAGGCAAGGCAATGCAAAGCAATGCAATACAAGGTATGCAAGTATGCAAGTATGTATGT